ACAAACAAAGAAAAAAAAACGCATGATCATCTCAAGAGATGCTGAAACAGCATTTGACAAAATCCAACATACTTTCATGATAGAGGTCTTGGAGAGATCAGAATTAACAGGAACATACCTAAACATAATAATAAGCAATATACACTAAACCCACATCACACTGAATAGAGAGAAGTTTAAAGCCATTCCTCTAAAATCAGAAACAAGATGAGGCTGCCCATTGTCTACATTTCTCTTCAATACTATAGGTGAAGTTCTAGCTAGAGCAATAAGACAACCAAAGGAGATCAAGGGGTTACAAATTGGAAAGGAGGATGCTGAACTGTCACTATTTACAGATGATATGACAGTTTATATAAGTGACCCCAAAATCTCTACCACTGAACTCCTGCTACTGAAACCACCTTCAGCTAATAAGTAGTATACAAGTTTAACTCAAGAAAATCAGTAGCCCTACTATAAACAGATGGTAAAGGGTCTGAGAAACATCACACACACACACACACACACACACACACACACACACACACACATGCATATATATATATTACATCCTTAGCTATCAGGGAAATGCAAATCAAAACAACTTTGAGATACCATCTTACCCCTGCCAGAATGGCTAAAATTAGAAACACCAGTGATGACTTATGTTGGAGAGGATGTGGAGAAAGTGGAACACTCCTCCACTGCTGGTGGGAGTGCAAACTCATACAGCCATTTTGGAGATCAGTATGGCGGTTCCTCAGGAAAATGGGAATTAGTTTACCACAGGACCCGGCAATCCCCCTCTTAGGCATATACCCAAAGGATTCGCATCAATGCAACAAAGACATCTGTTCAACTATGTTCATAGCAGCACTGTTTGTAATAGCAAGAACCTGGAAGCAACCTAGATGCCCCTCAATTGAAGAATGGTTAATGAAGATGTGGCGCATCTACACAATGGAATACTACTCCGCAGAAAAAAATAATGGTATCTTGAAATTCGCAGGCAAGTGGATGGCACTTGAAGAAACCATCCTGAATGAGGTAACCCAGTCACAAAAAGAGGAACACGGTATGTACTCACTCATATATGGATTTTAGAACTAGATCAAATGATCACCAGCCTATAATTCACATCACCAGAGGAACTAGGATACAAGGTGTATTCTAAGAGATTCATATAAAGTCCCTCACAGAACTGGGAAGGGACAAGTCCCCCAGAGCTCAGGTGAAGTGGGGGAGGACAGCGAATGGAGAGAGAAGTAGGAGAAAATGAGGGGGAGGAGAGGAAGGCATGTGCGACCAGGAGGATTGAGCCTGGTTAGGAATGGAAGATAGGAAAGAGAGAGAGACAGAGACAGAGACAGAGACAGAGAGAACATAAAAGAGGGAGCCAATATTGGTTTGAAGATAAAGTTGAACACAAAGAAAGGTTGAGAGAACTACAAGACTGCTCCCAACTAACAATCTCAGCTTCTGTGGAAAGGCTATCATAAATGCCCTTCCCGGAGAGTGAGATCAACAACTAACTTCTCCATGGAGCCCTCAACTAATGCCTGTTGAAAATAGGAGCAAACACCCATACATGAACACTGAGTCGAACTAGAACCCAGAAGCAGATGGAGAGGACAAGACCATGTGGTAGAAGCACATAGAGACAGCTCACCTGAACAAGGAGGAGCTAAGGGCCACTAGACTGATAGCTGGGAAGCCAGCAGGGGATTGACTCGGGCCCCCCTGAATATGGGTCTCAGCCAGAAGGTCTGAGCAGTCTAAGAGACCTCAGACAGTGGAGCCATGATGTATCCCTGGTGCACAAAAGGACTTTGCAAACATATCCCCCATGGAGGGATAACTGCCTTATTCTAGAGACAGGAGAGAAGCCCTAGTCCCTACTTCACAGGACCTGTCACATCTACATGACCCCAACTGGATGGCATTCCCCTACATATGGAATTGTGGTGGGGGGATGGGAGGGGAGGGTGTTTAGAGTGCATGTGAGAGGGCAGAGAGGGTAAAAGGGAGGAAAGGAGGGAGGGAGGGCTGGAGGGGAGGAAGGGAGGGAAAGGGAACTGGGATCAACATGTAAAATAATAAATTTAAAAAAAAAATGCTTTGACTCCAAAATTTAAGTTGAAGGACAAGTTACTGGAGAAAAGGATTTCTATTTTTGTTTCCACAGAAAATGAAAAGATGTGGATTCCTTCCAGACTAATGTGGTTTGATCACACCAGACCGCCTGAAACAGAGTACAAGCTGATCCTACATTCAAAACAGCTGGACAAAACAGCCCTACAGACTACAGCCAGGATATCTGAATCATCTTCGAATCCTCCAAGACAGCGCCCCTTACTAGCAGGAAGTAGTTTGGAAAGAACCATGCCCAAATTCCCAAATATTGTGTATAAATGTTTGTTTTCATTTAATTGGACTTTGTTATATAAAATTAAATAAAAAAAAGATCCAGCAATTCCACCCAGGCATATACCCAAAGGATGCACATTCATACAACAAGGACATCTGTTCAACTATGTTCATAGCATTATTTGTAATAGCCAGAACCTCTTTGTTTTATTCAATTCCAATGTGTTAATTTTTTATCTTGCTGTATTTTATTTCATTATTTTTTAAAAAGGACAGAACCTTTTGGTAATGGAAATAACTGGTCTCTTGCATGTGATACAGATATACAATCCTTACTCTTATGATAGATATTTTTATTTGTTTTTATTTGTGTGTGTGTGTGTGTGTGTGTGTGTGTGTGTATGAGAGAGAGACAGAGAGACAGAGAGACAGAGAGAGAGATCTCAGAGACCAGAAGAGGATGTTAGATCCCCTAGAGCTGGATATACAAGTAGTTGTAACTGCTGGGAACTGAACTCGGGTCCAATCTTGCTTGTGTGTAACAAAATTTTATAGAACAAATACAGCCAAATAAAATGGGAAATTTAAAGAATATCAGCAGGGGCTGTGGGAAATGGCTCAGGGGTTAAGAGCATTGGCTGGTCTTCCAAAGGTCCCAGGTTCAATTCCCAGCATCAATATGGAAGTTGACAAGTATCCTAACTCCATTTTTAGGGGATCTGATGCCCTCTTCTGGTCTCCATGGGCAGTAGACACTTATCAGCATGACATGCACTGCACACATACAGACAGACAGACAGGTAGACATATACCCACATATATTAAAATAAATTTAAAAATAATAAGATTATCATCAGATTATGTCGATGTCAATATTCTGGCTGTATGATACCATAACTAAAGTTCTGTAAAATATGTTCATTGAGCAAACTGGCACACAGGATCTCTTTATGCTATGTCTTACAACTGCACTTGACTCCGGTGATCTCAGTAGCATAGTCTTTTTTTTTTTTTTTTTTTTTTTTTTTTTTAATCTTTTTCTGGGAAGGATGGGATGAGGTTGTGGTATGTGTGTTTTGTTTTGCATTGTTTCCTGAGGCAGGACTTTGCTGTGTAGCCCAGGCTAGCTTCATATTCACAATCCTTCTGCCTCAGCATCTGGAATTCTGGGTTTACAGGCGTGTGTTCCACACCCAAATCAGCATTTTCTGTATTTTTAAATGAGACTTAGAACCAAAGCGAGGCTCAGCACATGAAGGCATGTGCTACCAACTCTGAGGATCCAAATTCAACCCCCAGAGCCCACGGGATGAAGAAACAAGAGAGTCTACTCATAGAAGTTGCCCTATGAGCTCCATGTGAGTTTTGCGACATGCACACACACATAAGTAAATGTAAACTAGACTAAGGATGTAATTGAAAAGCACAGCTCTTGCCCAGAGTCCAGGTTTCAAGGTCTAGTACCACCAATGAAGAGGCAGAGACTGACTTTATTTGTAAATGGCATACTGCCAAGTACGGAAGCCAAGGCTCTGGGCACTCTCACCTTCTTTCAATAAACCGAGAGCCTGCAATGCCTCAGACTCTTCTGAAATCCCGCCTTGAGGTTGTAGCCATGGATTAATGAATGCTCAAACTAGGTCTCTCTTTTGTTCAATGGTCCCTCGCACTCCAGGCAAAGAAACTCTGGGGTCACTTTCTGTGAAAATGAATACAGAAACAAGGATAATGAAGCCAAATAGCTTTGGCCCACTGCCCCTGATGACAAAGATGCCAACCCTCTTAACGCTCATTCAGGAGGAAGAAACAGTGTTTGGGTTGGCCAAGATGTGCTGGCAGGGAGCCAAAGTGGCTGGCTCACAACTACTTTGTAGGTTTGAGAAGCTGATGCGGTAAGAGGGTGACACTGGCTGAAAAACTACAATTCCCAGAGTGTCCTGCGGCTTGTGCTAGCCAAGGGGTCATGTGATCGATGCTCACGTGTTTCCAAAGTAGGCTCCGGAAAGACACCTACAAGGTTTGTGAATGGAGGTACGGGCGGTGGTATAAGGTGGGGCTGTAGGGTTTCTGGGTCCTTGGAGTCCCCCATCACTGCTGTGACCAAGTCCCAGCAGGGCTCCAGAGCCAGCCTCTCTGATTTCCTCTGTTGTACCGACCCAGCCACGCCTTAGCCTGGCGACTCTCCACTTAGTCTTAGGCCAAGATCGAGTCAGCTCCCGAGTTACTCATACAGCACACTGATTTGACGTCATGCCTGGGGCTGACCCAAGCCCACCCTGGCCAGGTGCTCCCTTCCCCACCTCCCATGCAACCAAACCTCGTGTTTCGGTGCTGGCCCCAAGCTGGGCTAGGAAGCGGGTAAGATCTGTTCCATCCCTCACCTTAGCATGTGTGTATCGTGCTTATAGTCAGGACCCCCCTAACTGCTCACTACGACCTTAACGTAATCTCTTTCCTCCATGGGTCTTTTCCCTATCTGACCTGGCACTCCACTCTGTACTATGAGTTATTCAGAACTACTCCGTGTAAGCTATCCCCCTTCAGTCTCATAGCCAGTCGCAAAAGGCCAAACTCCTCTCTCTATTGACTGCAGATCTTCGGTAAAGCCTTGAGAAGAACTTGGGGCCAAAAAAGGGATGTGAGGAGACTCGGACCCCATACCTTTAGATGGAGAGAACAGCCCTCTTCTAGGATAGCAGGTAAGTTGGGAACAGTGAGGCTGATGAATTGGGGTAGGGGTAGAGCTCTTAGACCATTGAGAGTCCAGGGGCTGGGATCACTCAACCTGAGCTTTTTTTGTGTGTGGCTGCAGGAGAGCCTGGGCAGATGACAGAGGCCTGGGGCATGGGTGCCAAAGGGAAACGTGCTTCTTAGAGAGAGGCTTGGAAACATGTGACCTTAATGTCTGTTTTGTGGTGTTAGCAATGGAACGGATGACCTTAGACCTCTCTGGAGCTATGCCTGGATCTGGGGCATCCCCAGCCTGCCTTCACTACTCACTACTGTGAGATTTTGCTGCGTTGCTGGCTGGGGGCAGATTGTGTAAGAGGAAAAAGTCTGTGGCTAGACTGATGTTTCTGACTCCAGCCACAACAGAGATGTGGGCACTAGGACTACGTTCCTTAGTTACTTGATGGCAGATGTCCCAGAGCACCTGCACTTTTCTCTTCCTTTTTGGGGTAATGTCCCCTGCTTTATCCACCATCAGAAGGAACACCTGGGAAGCACCCCCAGGGGCCTCAGTCTATTCTAGATGCCCCCCCCCAACCCTCGTGGGCTGACCTTATTAAGAGGGTTGGCTTGAGATAGAATGGACAGGAGTTGTGGCCTTTGTGGGGAGGAAATGGAATTGTTTTTTAATTTTAGAGAGTGAGAATATGAATGAATGAATATGCCATGGTTCCTGTGTGGTCAGAGAATAATCTGTAAGAGTCCATTCTTGCTTTCTGTCATGTGGGTCCCAGGGATCAAACTCGAGTCATGAGTCTTGACTGCAAGCACTTTTATACATTCAGCCGTTTCACCAGCCCAGAATGGCAGCTGTTAGGGATTGACTCCCAAGCCTTGTTTATGGTAAGCACAGGCTCTACTACCCCCAGCCTGGTATTGCTTTCTAACGTCAGCATGCCCTTCTCGAGAGTTTATGCCATGAAAAGGCTGAGCAGGCTAAAGTGACTTACCCAAGGCCGTGCATGTAGAAAGTGTCATGTAGAAAGTGTCGAGGTTAGGTTTCAGCCCTCTGAGTCTAAGATGAGAGCATAGACCCCTCCGAGCTCAGGGATGTTGGGTTTTTTGTTTTGTTTTGTTTCACTTATTTTATTTTTTTAAATATTTATTTATCATGTATAGTGTTCTGCCTGCATGTGTGCCCGCAGGCCAGAAGAGGGCACCAGATCTTATTATATATGCTTGTGAGCCACCATATGGTTGCTGGGACTTGAACTCAGGTCCTCTGGAAGAGCAGCCTGTGTTCTTAACCTCTGAGCCATCTCTCCATCCCTTTCATTTGTTTTGTTTTGAGACAGGGTTATACTATATAGCCTAGTACTAGCTATGTGGCCCAAGCTCACCTTGAACTCACAACAGTCCTCCTTCCTCAGGCTCTCAATCACTGGGATTTCTGGCAAGAACCACAGTGCTCACCTTAGGGATGCTCTTGGTGTGGGCTTAGCTTTGGGTCTTTAAGAAACATTCACTCCTCTTGGAGGTTCAGACAAGTACTGAGGTGCAAGAACACTGAGGGTCAGATTTCAGAGCTGGGCTCCCAAAGGCACTTGAAGATTTGGAGAAGAGTGAACTGGTTTTCAAGGAAGGACCATGGCTAAAGGAAAGCCTGCAGTTAGGTTTTGCTTACCCAGAGGGTGAGCAGGTGACAAGCCTGTTATCAGTTCAGCAGGCCCAGGAAGGAGACAGAGGCAAACAGATGAATGTTATAGGCCACATAAGAATGTTCTAGAAATGATGATATTATCTGGTCTTTGTTCATTCATTCATTCAGTGTGTGTCTGTGTCTTGTTTGGTTTTTGGTTTGGCGAGTAAGGGTTAGTTTTACAAGGCAGTGTTTCTCTATGTCCTGGGACCCACTCTGTAGACCAGCCTGTCCTTGAACTCATAGAGCGCTAGGATTAAAGGCATGTGCCACCACCATCTGGTATGTGTCTGTGTATGGAGATCAGAGGAAACTTGTAGGGGTTATTTCTCTCCTTCTACCATGAGGGTCCCAGGAGTCAAACTCAGGTCATCCATCTTGGCAACAGCCACCTTTACCTGCTAAGCCATTTCAGCATGCCTGGTGTTGAATCCCAGCCACCAGTGACTGCCACATGACCAAGGGTGGCATGCACAATGCCTGGGCATCCGTATCTTTGGTGTCAGTCAGTCCTGTCTTCTCCTCAGTTACAACTCATAGTTAACAATAAACACCACAGGTCTGGCTTCAGAGCCGTGTAGTCTAGCTTGGGAAAGCAAGCCTAGAACATTACAGGGCTAGCACACAAACGATGGAAGGAAATGGATCTAGGTAGTGCCGGGCTCTGTAATGTCTCCAAGAAGGACTCAGTGAGTGGCGGAGAAATGGGGAGGAGATGGAACTTGTGAGTGGCCAGCAAAGGGTCTGGGGATATTCCAGACACACAATTAAGAATTCTTTTTCTAGGCCAGTGAGATAATTCAGTGGATAAAAGAATCTGCTGCCAAGCTGCATGATCCGAGTTCAGTCCCCTGGGCCCACACTGTTAAGGTGAGTGCTGATTCCCAAAAGTTACCTTCTGACCTCCACACAAGCACACATATACATACAACAAATAAACAAAATGCATATACATACACCAAATAAATGAAATGCAATTTTAAAAATGATTTTCCTGTCATTAGGCAATGGTGGCGCATGACTTTAATCCCAGCACTTGAGAGGCAGAGGCAGGCAGATCTCTGTGGGTTCAAGGCCATCTTGGTCTGCAAATCAAGTTCCAAGACATCCAGAGCTGTTACACAGAGAAACCCTGTCTTTGGGGGGTTGGGGGGGTGGGGATTCCTGCTAGTGGCAGACTCAGGCAAAGGCAGAAGGATCTCTGCTTCAAGGACAGTCAGCACTACATAGAGAGACCTTGTCTCAAAAAAAAAAAAAAAAAAGTTTTTTCCCCTGAGGATCAGTATGGCAGGAATTGCCATGTGGGAAATGAGAAAGTTGACCTGAATTTTGAAGGGCCTTGAAAGCCATGCATGCAGTTTAATGTCCGGATACAGGAAAGCATGCTGGGCTGAAATGTTCTTAGTAGTGGTTCCTGTTAGTACTGTGTGGTGTTCAGACAACCTGGGAAGCCAGATGGATCCAGGTCCAGACTGTGTTGCAGCTTGCTCATGCTCATGGACCATCCTGGGTCAGAGCTTGTATTTCTCTGAACCTTCTGACCCCAAGAACAGATGATCTAAAGCATGCCTGTGATGCCTGTCTCCTGGGACACTTTAGCACTCCTGTCTTCTGTGTCCTTTATTCTCTTTGCAGCACTGGCCGTTGGTAGACAAGTGTTTTATCACTGAGTCTCTCAGTATCGTCAGCCTCTCCCATTCTTTTTGTTTTCTTTTGTTTTGTTTTTGAGACAGGGTTTCTCTGTGTAGCCTTGATGGTCCTGGAACTCACTCTGTAGACAGGCTAGCCTTTAACTCATAAAAATCTGCCTGCCTCTGGAGTGCTGGGGCTAACAGTGTGCACCACCAACACCCAACCCCTCCCCCCACCTCTTTTATATTTAGGTCTTATTTACTTTCTGACCTATTAGAGTGAAACAAGTTGGGGAGTAGAGAGGGTCTGAGAGATGGCTCTGAGGTTAAGAGCACTGGCTACTCTTCCAGAGGACCTGAGTTCAATTCCCAGCAACCACATGGTGGCTCACAACCATCTGTAATGAGATCTGATGCCCTTTTCTAGCCTGCAGGCATAACATGCAGGCAGAACAACATGTACATATAAATAAATCTTTTTAAAAAAAGAGTGAAGCAAGTCCGGTGCAGCTGTGTCTGTCATCCACACTGACCTCAGTGCAGTATTCTGCACAGAGCAGCACCTGCCTCTTAGCCTGGTGGGGCTCCTACCATGTAGTGGGTTAGTACCTGATACTTATGGATCCTAGCCATTTGATCTTCGGAAAGTTGCATCACCATTTTGTATTCCAGATTCACCGTTTCAGGATAAACATAATGTCTGCCTTTCTTTGTCTTGCCTAGGTTGACAAGAGGCCCCCAGAGTAGTAGCCCTAAAGGGGCAAGTATTCTCTCAGCTACTCCAGGAATGTGGTTGTGAGGCAGAACCCATAGCTTTCAGAAGAAAAGTAGTCTTGGACCATGGCTCAGGTCAGCATCAACAGTGACTACAGTGAGTGGGGCTCCAGCACTGATGCAGGGGAGCGGGCCCGTTTGCTACAAAGTCCCTGTGTGGATATGGCACCCAAGAGTGACGGGGAGGCATCTCCTGGAGATCCAGACAGAGGCACCACTTCTACACTTGGAGCCATCTTCATTGTTGTCAATGCCTGCCTGGGTGCAGGACTGCTCAACTTCCCAGCAGCCTTCAGCACTGCTGGGGGTGTGGCAGCTGGCATCGCCCTGCAGATGGTGAGTGCACTGGCAGCAGAGGCAGGCAGTGCCTATGGGCTTTGATTTGCAAGAGAAGCTTTGAATTAGAGATGAGTGATAGAGGACACATGCTGACATTCTTCCCTTCCTTATAACTGGTAGACATTAACAATCTATTCCAGAACCTTCTTTTAAAGCTACCATTCAAAACCAGTGCAAGAGTATGAAAAGAGAGAAGGAGGGTAGAAGTGGGAAAGAGAATGAAATCTAACTCAGGTCTCAGACCTCTTTACCCTGAGGCCAATTAAGCCGCAGGTGGATCTCTGTGAGTTCAAGGCCAGCCTCAGCCTCATCTACAGAGCTAGTTCCAGGACAGGCTTCAAAGCAATACAGAGAAACCCTGTCTTGAAAAACAAAAACAAACAAACAAACAAAAAAACAAATTTCAAAAGCAATCAGAGAGCTTTGAGCATCATCTCCATATTTAATTTTTTGGTTTTTGAGATGAGCACATGTAGCCCAAAGTGACCTTTAATTTTCTGTGGCGCCAAGGATGACCTTTAACTTCAGATCTTTCTGCTTCCACATCCTGAGTACTGGGATTACAGATAAATGCCTCCACACTTGGCTTCATGCAGTACTCAGGCAAACCCAGGGGTTCATACACACTAAACAAGCACTCTACCAAGCTACATCCCCAACCCCTGCATATTTAGGTTTTGGGTGTGATGTTGACTTTTGTGGTTATGTTTAATTAAAAGAAAGACCCTTATGTGTTAGAATTATTGAAACATTTACTAATGAAATAAAAAGATTATTTGTATTGACTTCAAAATACAATGGAAGGGTGATAAAGTGGAAAAAAAAAAAAAGTCTGCCACAAGAACTACTGTAGTAGTGCATGCCTGTAATCCCAGCACTCAAAATGTTCAGGCAGAAGGATCTTCATGAGTTTAAGGCCAGCTTGTACCACACAGTAAATTATAATCCAGCCTCCAGCCTGGGTAAAAAAAAAAAAAGAAAAGAAAACCACAAGTTGTTTTGAAGCTGAGTTTGAAGCCATTTGGGCTTCATTCTGTTCTCAGTTTGTATGTTTAAAATTTTGACTGAAAGCCATTTTTTTCTTGTTTTGTTTTGTAATTATTTTATGTGTGAGTGTTTTACCTACATGTATAATTGTGCACTGCATGCAATGCCAGTGGAGGCCAGAAGAGGGCGTCAGATCCCCATTTAGTGGAGTTACAGATGTTTGTGTGTGAGCCCCCATAATATATTCTGGGAATTGACCCCCAGGTCCTCTGAAAGGGCAGCCACTGAGCAATCTCTCTAGTGCCTGAAACTTGTTTTTAAAGAAAATTTCAACTTGATAGCCTCTAGTAATCTGTTAAAATTGTCCTGCAAGATAATCTGCAAACTGCTTTGGATGTTGGTGTAAGAGACACCAAAAATGAGCTCAGGGTGTCTTTCCCATGCCCTTTTGTCTGTTCCTGGCTGCAGGGCATGCTGGTTTTCATCATTAGTGGACTTGTCATTCTGGCCTACTGCTCCCAGGCCAGCAATGAGAGGACCTACCAGGAAGTGGTATGGGCCGTGTGTGGCAAGCTGACAGGCGTGCTGTGTGAGGTAGCCATCGCAGTCTACACCTTCGGCACCTGCATCGCCTTCCTCATCATCATTGGGGACCAGCAGGACAAGAGTGAGGTTCTCCCCAGTTCTCATCTCTCTCCTTGGCTTGAGGTCCTGGGGTAGATGGGAAGAGTGCTACACACTAGGCCTTGTCCTCTCTGGGAGTCCTACTCCTTAGAGGGAAGTCTTAGGACCTGCCAAAGCAGGAGGGCCCACACCCTGAATGGCCTGATGTGATGTTCCCTCCTTCTTCCCTGTGCAGTTATAGCTGTGATGGCAAAGGAGCCTGAAGGGGCCAGCGGCAGCCCCTGGTACACAGACCGCAAGTTCACCATCAGCCTCACTGCCTTCCTCTTCATCCTGCCCCTGTCCATTCCCAGGGAGATCGGCTTCCAGAAATATGCCAGGTTCGGAGGTCCCAACCCAGCCTGGGCCAGACAGAGGCTCTGATCAAAGACAACTGGAGAGCCATTTCTGGTGGGGAGCCCCTCTCCCACATGGCATCTTCCTTGGGGAACAAGAACAGGCAAGCCAGGGCACACCAGAGCTGCAGAATCCTAGGCCCAGGACTTTTTACTTTTCCCTTCATATCAAGGAAGACAGTGGCCTTTTACAACATTAAAAGGTGTGATGTCCTTGTTGAAGAAGGGATTGGTGATGGCTGGCAGTATAAGGGCAGATGCTGACTGAGGCTTTAGCTTTCCTGGAAGCTGGGAGTTGATGATTTTAGTGTTGTCAGCATGGTAGGGTCTTCCATGGAGCTCAGACAGCGGAAGCTAGCTTCCTAGCCCTATATCTAAAAAGCTATGGGTTTGGGGGCCCTTTTGTACTTGGCCATCTCCAGGGTTTCCTTAAATGTTAGCATCCCAGTCTCCACCCTTTACCCCAGAATCTCTTAGCTCTCAGAGGCCAGGCCCACAGGATGGCCATCTGTGAGCCCTTGCCACACCTGGGCTGCTTAAGCTGAGCCTGTAGCTGTGCTTTGGAGCCGGGTTCCTGCATGCAGTCTCTGAGCCAGCGCATGTCCGATGGCTGAAGTGCTGACAAGCTCTCCCTGTGACAGGTCTCTCTGCAGCTTATTTCTCCTGAATCACTATTTGGTGTGGTTTGGTCCCTAGAGCAAGGGTGGGTACATCTGAGGATGGGGTTGGACAGGGGAAGGGCTGGCTGGGGCTGGGAAGTAGGAAGTCAGTCTTTCCTCTTTGGCAGTTTCCTGAGCGTTGTGGGCACCTGGTATGTCACCGCCATTATCATCATCAAATACATCTGGCCAGATAAGGAGATGCGTCCAGGGGACATCCTGACCAGGTAGGTGAGGGTCCCTGGGAAGTGCATGGGGTAGAAGTTGCTACCCAGATCTGGCATTTAACGATCACATGTGTGCTCTTCCTGAGGCTCATTATTAGCTCATTGACACTACTCATCAATCATTGTAGGAAGGAGGTGAGAAGGCCTGTTCAATGTCTAGCAGATACCACAGTGCTATGCAAGGTCCCAACTTGGCAAGACTACCAGGGAAATTTTTGCACATTTTCCCAATTACTCTTTGGATTTGTCAGACTGGGACTCACGTAACCCAGGCTGGGCTCAAGCTCACTATGTAGCCTGGTTCTTGAACTCCTGATCCTCCTGCCTCTACCTCCCAAGTGCTGGAATCACAGATACACACCTCCATGTCTAGCTTTCCAACCCCCCTTTTGTTTTTGGTTTTTCTAAAGGAACAATTCAGGAAAGAAAGTCCTAAACTTAGGAGCCAGCAATTCTGGACTCTGGTCCTAGGATGGCCTTTTAGAACCTGTCTCCTGAATTTTAAGTAGACACAGGTCTTCCACTCAAGTGTGTTCATGGTTGGGTGCTGGTTGTTGGAGGTTAATGGAATCATGAAGAAGTGGGTGGTGGGGACAGTTGGTGGCTCTGTGGAATTCACAGGCAGGTTCACATTGTGTTTGCCAACAGACCAGCTTCCTGGATGGCTGTGTTCAATGCCATGCCCACCATCTGCTTCGGATTTCAGGTGCAAGCACCAGGGTCCCTGCTGTCCCATTAGCTCAGTCCCCTGGGTAGGATTCCTGGGAGGATGGATGAACCAAGGGCCCCCTGGCTTGCTCCTTATCCCTGGGGCCTTTGCCCCCAAGGTACCTCCCTTTGAAACCTGTAAATGGGGTCACATCTCCACCATGACCATACCCTTCATCTGGACAGTGCCACGTGAGCAGTGTACCTGTCTTCAATAGCATGCGGCGGCCGGAAATTAAGACCTGGGGTGGAGTGGTGACAGCTGCCATGGTCATAGCTCTGGCTGTCTACATGGGCACAGGTGAGTACTGTCCTCCAGACGCCAGGCTTGGAGTGCTCCCACTCCCTCTTGAGTCCCCAGGGTTTCTGGTCCAGTTTTCCTAGGGAAGCTCTCTCTGTACTTTTAGCTCGATAAGCACTTCTGTAGACATTGACTTGAATTGGGCTGCCCAAGGCTACCCCTCATCAAGATAGTGTGTTCCATCTGCTCACTGGTTCTAAACTGATGCTAAGTGACTTACCAGAGGATGTGGCACCTGGAGAGGCCCATGAGGGAAAAGCCAGACTGAAGAAGAGTGTTCCAGAGGGAAACCACAAATGCAGGGTTTCTGGGAAAGAAATGGGAAGGAGGTCTGCATTGCTGGGGTGCAGGCTCTCCCTGGGCAGGCAAAGGGAGAGCAACGGATACTGCCAGGATCCTGAGAAGATGCATTTCTTGGGTGGAAAATGACCATGCAAAGAAATCTCTGGCTGTTGTGTGGGTTAGTTTGGGCAAGGGGTCAAAGATGAACTGGGAATCACCATCCTCCTGTGGCAGGTGATGAGGACAGGAGCTACCTGGGCTAGAATTATCCCAGCCTGTGAAACAACAGCAAGAAACACAAGAGGCAAACAGGCAAAGTCCCTTTTGCCATGGGCCCCATGTTCTGACTGGTGACAGGTGATTTAGAGAGGTAAATGATATGAAGAGAGTAGAATAGGATGATAAGTGTCGGGTGGGGGTGACTGGATGGGCAGGACAGTGTCCTTTGAGGAGGGGGCATCTGAACTGAGACCTGAATGATGAGGTGTCAGCATGATGGTTTGGGAAGATGGAATGGTTGGTATGGAAGTTAAGAGACAGGTGCAAAAAGCAGCAGTGTGTATGCTGGTGGGCTCCAGCCATGGACATCTGAGAAGGCAGGGAGTGGGGTGGGGCTCCATCTGCTCTCCCTTGACTCCCTTTCTGAGGCTCAGGCCTCACCTCCCCCAAGCTGCTACAATGTTCATTCTAAATGATGTTGCTCACATCAGAGTAGACAGTCCACTCTTAACCCTCCTAGGATTTCCCTGACCTTACCCTTGTCCTTGCCCATAGGCATCTGTGGCTTCCTGACTTTCGGGGCTGCTGTGGATCCAGATGTGCTCCGGTCCTACCCTTCAGAGGACGTGGCTGTGGCCGTTGCCCGAGCCTTCATCATCCTGAGCGTGCTCACCTCCTACCCCATCTTACACTTCTGTGGGCGGTGAGCCCCTTCCCCATCCTGTCCAGAGCCCCTGGGAGCCAGCATGATACATGGCCTTATGGGGAACTTATTTTGTGGCAAGGAAAATTGAAGCCAGCAGAAAGAATCAGGATGCCCTCCCCCATCCCCCATGCCAAGTCTTACTGGTTCCAGAAAATTCTGTGACTCCTATAAAGATCTCCAGTCCAGATCCTTTCCCAAGCTTTTATATAGATCCAGACTGCCTTTTGGATACCCTAACCCCTTCCTTTTATAAAGGGAATTATGGTGTCCATGTCCAGGTGAAGAGGCAAAGCCCTTCCATAAACTTATCTGCAGCCCATAGCAACCAAGGACAGTGATGGTCACAGATGAGGGGAACCACACATGTCCATTCAGGATCTCCCCCTCCCTGCAGTAGCCAAAGCAGCCTGAGCCCCTCCTCATGTGAGCAGGGCCGTGGTGGAAGGGCTGTGGCTGCGCTACAAGGGGATGCCAGTGGAGGAGGATGTGGGACGGGAGCGACGGCGCCGGGTCCTGCAGACGCTGGTATGGTTCCTGCTCACCCTGCTGCTTGCACTCTTTATCCCTGACATCGGCAAGGTCATCTCGGTCATCGGAGGCCTGGCAGCCTGCTTCATCTTCATCTTCCCAGGTGCACACCCCAGGCGCTTCCATCTCCCACACACAGCAGGACCTCCCTAGCCTCAGCCAGGGACTCAAAACCTGCTGGCAAGAGTAACCACCAATCTCTGTTGCTCACTGACTGTGACCCAGCTACGTGCTGCCCTGTCAGCACTGACTCCTGGTGGGAAGGTTGTGATCTCTGTGTTACTGATGAGATGTGGGGCTAGAGAGTACAAATGTGCCCAGAGGCTAAAAAGCTCCACTATCAACAGCCCATTTGAAGCCCAGTAGGCCCAGGTCTAGGATCTCTACTCTGACCCTTCAAGTGTGCTCACCCTTGACTCTCAGGATCTGGCTAGCTTATTCTAGTCCAGAGGGAAGGAAGCCTGGTGGTGGCACCTTGAGACTGAAATCATGGGATCCAAGTTCTAGACACAGATCAGAGACAGATGCACAGAAATCCATCCTGTCTGCACAGCTATGAGTTCTACTGTACCCAGCTTGTTTCTGTGCAGGGACCTCCTTAAAAGCCCTTCCTACTGGGCGTGGAGCAAGGGAACTATGCCTGCTCAGGAGTAGGCAAGATGGTGTGAGCTACCACAAAGTCACTCTTCGGCGTGCCCTGAGTCCTGAGTGTAGCGCAAAGGGTGCTTGTTAGCCACTGGCCTGCCTTGGGAAAATAGAGGCCAGGTGTCCAGCTGGGTGTGGGTTGGAATGGAGGATCTGGATTTCAGAATCTCTAGGAAACAGGCCTTTCTCCATCTCCAGCACTGCCTCTTGGAGGGTGGGGTTGAGGGAGGGAACCCCTGTTACCTCCAAACTCAGGGTTAACTCTTCTCTTCTAGGGCTATGCCTCATTCAAGCCAAACTGTCAGAGATGGAGGAAGTCAAACCAGCCAGGTAAGCAGGGCCAGCTGAGCGGCCTTTTAGGCAGATGAAAAGGGACCTTAAAATAGTGAAGGGGTCTGCTGGGTAGTGGTGTCATGGGCAGGCAGATCTCTTATAGAGTGAGTTCCAGGATAGCCAGGGCTGTTACACTGAGAAACTGTCACTGAGAAAGTGTCAGTAAACTAGGGCACTTAAAATTGTGGGGCTTTTAGGGCAGTGGCACACACTGCCACCTCCACACTCGGAGGCTAAGGTGCAATTGCTAAGGTTTGGAGCCCCTGGTACTGTGCCAGTTACTTTTACAAGAAGCTCAAAGGGAGAGAAGTTTTCTGCTCAGGAGGGCAGTGTGTCATGGTGTCTGTGGAGTTTGGTCACCTGTCCATAGTCAGGAAGCAAAGGAGACAAGGACACTCATATTACCTTCTCTGTTCTTATTTGGTCTGAGACCTCAGCCCACAGAATTGCACTGCCCTGTTCCGATCTCTGTTTAACCTCTCTGGAAATGCCTTTATAGATAGATCCTAGGTGATTCAAATTCCACTCAAATTGTCAATGAAAATGAATGATCACAGGAGGCTGGAGAGATGGCTCAGAGGTTAAGAGCACTGACTGCTCTTCCAGAGGTCCTGAGTTCAATTCCAGCAACCACATGGTGGCTCACAACCATCTGTAATGAGATCTGGTGCCCTCTTCTGGCCTGCAGTCATACATGCAGACAGAACACTTCGTAAATAATAAATAAGTAAATAAATCTAAAAAAAAAAGAAAGAAAGAAAATGAGTGATCACACTATGGAGTGAGAACCAAGCCAGCCAGCACTATGTAGCAAGACCCCACCTCAAAAAAAGGGGATAGGGGAGGAAACTGGAGGAACAGCTCAGTGTTTAAGAATGCTTTCTGTTCAAGATGGTGGCGCATACCTTTGATCCTAGCATTCAGGAGACAGAGGCAGGCAGATCTCTACCAGCCTAATCTACAGAGAGAATTCCAGGACTGCCAGGGCTACACAGAGAGGGAAAAAAATGCTTGCTGTTCAATCCTGAAGACCAGAGTTCAGATCCTAGCATCCATGTAACAAACCAGGTCTCCCACAAACGCCTGTAACTCCAGCTCTGATGGATTCTCTGGCCTCTGCACATGCACCTACAGGTGTGCAGTACAGCACACAGACACAAATAAAAGTTCTTTGTGTTTGGAAGTGTAACATAGTAGCAAGCTAGTCCTGTATGAGTCCCTGGGTTAAATTCCCTAGTATCACTCCCCAGATTATGGGATGTAAATTTTTGCAGTGGGTAACCTGAACTACTTATAATTTATGTACTACTGGAAGGCTTAAAAGAAAAAGTAAGAGTCCCATGCAGGCATACCCCTAATCCCAGTACCTGGAAGCCTGAGACAAGAATATTTCTAGAGTTCAAAGCCAGCCTGGGCTACATGATTTCAAACTAGCCTGAGCTACACAACGAACCTTGTCTCAACAACTACAACAACAAAAAAAAAAAAGTGGGGTGAGTTCCTTCTCTCACAGCCCATCTTACCCCTCTCCTAAGACATCTCTGTTTTCCCTCTGGGCTGTGACCTCAACTGTTCTGTGCACATCAGTGTCTAACTACACAGAGCTGTGCAGTGTATACAGACACAGAGGTTTGTATATGTTTTGTTGTTTGAGGCTAGAAGATTGCCATGAGTTTAAGGTCAACCTGGACTTCAGAGTGAGACTTTTGACTCAAACATTTGACACCAGCAAAAGTCATCTATCTGGTGAAGGAAAAGCACATTGCTTCCAGATATGTAGGTTTCCATATAAGTAGGTTTCATGCTTTAAGAAAAATTATTCCAGGCTGAGCATGGTGGTACATGTCTTTAATTCCAGCACTTGGGAGGCAGAGGCAGGTGGGTCTCTGTGAGTTTGAGGTCAGCCTGGTCTACAGAGTGAGTTCTAGGACAGGCTTCGAAGCTACCCAGAGAAATCCTGTCTCAAAAAACAAAAAACAAAAAAATATTCCAGGGCCGGGAAGGTAGTTCAGTGGGATAGTGCTTATCTACAATATACAAGGCCCTGGGTTCAATAATCCCTACCATGACTGGGGAGAGAGACAGGGGAGCAGGGAGAAAAAAAGAAAAGGGGGGAAGAAGAAAGGAAGGAAGAGAAAATAAATTTATTTCATGGCAATTTTTTTTTTCTTGAGACAGGGTTTCTCTGTAACTTTGGAGCTCTTTAACTTGCTTTGTAGACCAGGCTGGCCTCGAACCTCAAACTCACAGAGATCTGCCTGCCTCTGCCTCCCAAGTGTGCCACCACTGCTCAGCTCATGGCAATATTTGTATTTCAGTACTTGGGAGGCTGAGACAGAAAGGCAATAAGTTACAGGCCAGCCAAAATTATACAGTGAGACATGCCTAAAAACACAAAGCAAAACATTATTTAGTATAAAATTAAAAAACAGGTATATCCTAAGAAAATAAAAATTACCCTTCATCTCAATGCCAGTGATAACCTCCTGGCATTTGTTACATGTGGTTACAATTATCTGCCTTCTGTTTCTTTTCTTTTCAATTTATTTTTTATTGTAAATTCTCTCTTTGGCTACATGTATGTGAACACATATCACCAGAGGTTAGATGTATCCAATCCCAGTCTCCCTGGAGCTGGGGTTACAGGAGATTGTGTGATGTGCTGCGGGTCCTCTGGAAGAGCACTGTGTGACCTTGACCACTGAGCCATCTCAGCCCCTGCCTTCTGTTTCTGTTTTGAGTGAAACAGATCTCAATCCCTGTCGCCTGCTCTTTCCTCAGTGTCTCCCATCAGAAGACTTGCATTCTGCCCTGGTCCCACCTACAGCATCATTAGTGCCTCTAGATCTTGGTCTCCTTAACTGTGAACTCGGGTCACAGAGCTTTGTGTGGGAAAGTCCTTGGGAAGCCCAAGTGTTCTGCCTAAAGAAGTGGGGTGACTGATTATATTGGCTCTTACAGATAGGAGTCTGCAAAGACATAGGGGGGAAAATGACTGAAACCTTCTCTTATGCTCTGCCCTACAGCTGGTGGGCACTGGTCAGTTATGGAGTCCTTCTGGTCACCCTTGGAGCCTTCATCTTTGGCCAAACCACAGCCAATGCCATCTTTGTGGACCTCTTGGCATGAACACTGCCTTCCAGAAAACATGTCACCAAGAACCATCTCTCAGAGCTCTGGAGCTACCCCAGGTCCCATATCCTATTCCAGCTGGTGACATGTGGACACATTCTTCCAGGGACAGTCATGGGACAGAATAATCAGCCGTGAATCTATGGAGAGTTCCCACCCAGCTGCCTGTCTGTTCCCCAGCCTTCGAATTGTCATGGGTGGTGGCAGGAAGTCCCACATCACAGGAGCTTCCCCCCTTACCCAGATCTCAACTTCAGTCCTTTGGAACCTATGAGTGGAGAAAGTCTGAGTGTCAGAAGAGACCATTCTGACCTCCCTCTGGAAAAACAAACAAAAACAAAATCCTATACATAGTGCTGGCATCCCTCACAGAGCTTATCAGGACTGTGCTCAGTACCTCGGGGATTAGTGTCTGCCCATATCTCTCAGAAGCCAATGATGGCTGTCCCTGGGACCTGACACTTCCAAATGAGTCGCTGACATCATAGTTGTCCATTCCCCTATGGGACCTCAGGGTCCCTACCCTGACTTTGTCCAAACCTAATGGTCCAGGTTGGGTTTCCTCCTGTGCTCTCAGACATCAAGTCTAATGTTTACAAATGGCCGGCCTGGCTCTGGGCTAGGGGCTGCCTTTGCCACGGTGCTGTGAGCACTCCTCCGTTAGCTTTTCACATGGGCAGAGGGTCTATTGTCTTTTTCAGATTCCAGCTAGGCCTGTCTTTTCAGAGATTCAGGGTGGGTCACAGGAGAGGCTTGGAACTTTTGGACCCTCCTTCCAGGCTGGGCTGCCCAAGGTCTGGGTGAAGCTCTAGAACCATTGGTTCACTCCTCCAAGCCTTCCCTTCCCAGCTAAACCTTCCTTTACTAACTCCGTCTGGACTCTTCATTCCATTACCACACCTAACCCATCCCTCGCCCCTCACCCTCTCGTTTCTTTCATTCATGGGTGGGCTTTGTTATTTGTCAAGGGGAGGGGATGGCACCAAACCCTGTCAAGTCAGCTTGCTCAGTTCCATACATCTGTCAGGTCTGGCCTCAATGCCTGGGAATCCCACTGAGTTATACCTATCTCAGGTGAGGTCAGGCTGGACACTTTGTACTCTGACTACCTTAGCCTCTCATCTACCCCTGCTCACTTTTGCAAGTCTCAAGTACAAAACTGGCCTCTTTCCCCATAATTTTCTCTATTCTGCCTAAAACACCTATCCTAGAAGTGAGAGGGGCCTTTCCCAGCAGCCCTTCAACTCGGGTCTGTTCAGTTGAGGTGTCAGAGGCTCAGCATCCAGACTAACTGAATTGTTCTTTTCCTGTCCATCTCGGGTATCCATCCTCTCTGGTCCCACTATGCTAGTCTCTCTGGGCCTCCAAGTGCTGCCTCTCAGGGTGGCCAGGCATAAAGCTGGGGCATGGCATAGAGACAGACCAGCTGAGACTGTAGGCCATCTTCAGCTTGATCTCAGGACCCCTTCCTTTCCTTGTCCTCATCCAGTGTCTTGCTGGGTCTTTTCTACTTAAGCACATGTGGAGAAATGGGGATGGCTAATAAAGGGGCTTGCACTACTTAACTATGTCTCTTCTATCTTGTGTTTGGAACAGAGCCTAAGTCATAATGGCAGAAAGGGGACCTTGGATGGGACAAGTAGGTGACGCTTGACTATCCACAGCCAGGAATGGTGCCCATGGGCTCTCTTACCAAGCAAGAGTCTGCAGGAGGTTCTGGACACCTCCTTTTCTGCTTCCTTCCCTGACTCTCCCTACTGACTGGAGAGTGTCTTTTCTGGGCTCTGCTTCTATTCTAACCCAAGATCTTCCTCTCTACCCTGCATTTTTACCACCTCAGCCAGCCCCTCTGATGCATGTCCTCCCCCATGGCTGTAATCTTGGAGTGAGCATCAGACTCCCCAGCATCCACTGGTCCTGTAAGAGGCAGAATAAGCCCTGCTTTGGCTGGGGACATCATCAGGTACTGCATTCAGGAAGAAGATAGGCTAATGGGGCAGGCTAATGTTCTGCAGTCACACAGGTCTAACTGAAGACTGTTAGAAGTCCCAAAGAGGGAAAATAGTATTTGGATTGGGAAGAGGGAAAATAGTATTTGGATTGGGAAATACAAACTTTTTCACTAGGACAATATGCTTGAGATCACTATCTTAGAAGGAGAAGAAGGAGTTTATTTTGGTCCTTAACCACTGGCCTTGTTGCTTTTGGTCTAGGATGGCAAAGTATGCCTTGGCAAAAGCATGTGACTGAGGAGACATCATAAAAGACAGTTGTGCAGTTGTGGCACACTTGTAATCTTAGCATTTGGGTGCCTAGGGAAGGAAGATCTCCAGTCTTAGGACGTAGAATTACCCTGCCTTAAAAAAAAAAAAAAAAAAATAGAGAAGATCTAGAGTCCTGATAGGCGCTTCAAAGGCATACCACTGTGACCAAACATTCTTCCACTTCATATCTTAAAGGTCTGTCTTCCCCAGGAAGGAAAAGAAACCTTTAACCAAAGGGCTTTGCGGGGACATTCTGGCTCCAAATTACAGCAGAGGCCTTAGGCTCTCTCAGAAGAGTCCTGGAGGGCTTACTGGAGGAAATGATGTTTGATCTGGCCCCTGACTCTTGAGTAGAGATTAGCTAAGTAGAGAATGGGGAGAACTTTCCAAGCAGTGAGACTGTGTGTGAGGAGGTCCTGAAGTTGGAGACATACAGCTTAAAGAACTAAGAAGTGAAACAATGACGTCTTCAAATTTGCAAACAAATGGACTGGACGGAACTAGAAAAAGCCATCCTGAGTGAGGTAGCCCAGTCCCAGAAAGACAAATCTAATATGTACTCACTCATAAGTGGATGTTAGACATAAAGCAGAGGACAACAGGCCACAACCTCAGAGAACCTAGAAGAGCCTAAGAGAAACACATAAATCCACCTGGGAAGGGGAAATAGACAAGCTCTCCTGAGTAAATTGGGAACGTGGTGGGTAGGGGAAGGGTGGAAGGGAAGGAAGAGTGGGGTGGGGGAATGTATGGCTCAATAAAAAGAAATGGTAAAAAAATTAACTAAGAGAAACAAATTCCACCTCCACGCCTTTAATTTCACAGAAATTATCGGTCTTTCCTTTAGACCAAGGATTGGAGATTTCTTTTGCCTGTATACAGAGCCAGATGTGAAGTATTTTTTGGCTTAGTAGGCCCATACAGTCTCTGATAGAACTGTACAACGTGGCCATTGCAGCATGGGAGTGGCCTCAGGCAATTTTGAAATTAATGAATGTGAGGCCGTTCGATGTGGATACCCAAAATAGAACTCTATGTAGTTTTTCACAAGTTATAAAGATTTTCTTCTTTTTTGCTTTTTTTCGTGAACTGAAAATGAACATTTAAAATATTTTTTTAAATGTGTGTGGGTGAGTGTGTGTGTGTGTGTGTGTGTGTGTGTGTGTGTGTGTGAGAGAGAGAGAGAGAGAGAGAGAGAAATGCGTGCTTGTGTAGTACCTGCAGAAACCAGAAGAGGGCATCAGAAGTTGTGAGCTGACTACCTGAGTGCCAGGAAGAAGCCTGGGTCCTCTGGAAGAGCAGAGTGTATATGCTCAACTGCTGACAATTCCACCAGCTTCTAAAAGAACATTTTAAACTTGCAGGGTGGAAAAGTGGCCTGGGGACCACAGTTATTGTGAGAACAGGAGTGGTGAGCCACTGCATCCCTAGTGCCTGTAACACACTCGACATATTTACTAGGGAGGGACTCAGCAGAGGGGACTTCACTTTCTTCAAAGGAAGCTCAGTGAGCCGGTTCGGTTCTCTCGGGCACAGGGTGGGAACTTACACTGGTGTGACCGTGGAACCACTGGTGAGCTGGGTAATTGTGGTTCTTCCTTAAACCAAGCTTCAGCATCCCCAGATGCTGTACCCTAGTGCCATGTAAAAGCCCACAGATTTTGGAGGTCAGGACTTCACTTGAGCGGTAAACTATCCTAAGGGGTAAATTTTGTATTGTGATTTGTCAATGTGACTAACCTGTAGAAAAGTCACTTCAATTCCTTGGGTATTTTGTTAATTTGCCAAGCGGGGAGCATGGCATGCCCATTCTACCTTGGTAGCCTGTGAAGAATAGAGGTAGGGGATTTGCAGATGTTAAAATCCCTCAGGGGGATGAATCATGTGAATATTCTTTAAACTGACACCTTCTTCTTTTCTTTCTTTTTTAAAAAAATCTTGTTTTATATGGGCAGATTAAACTCATGATCCTTCTGCCTTAGGGTCCCAAAAACTAGGCATCACAAGTATAAGTACTGCCATGGGTATTTTCTTGCAATCAAAATTAGTTCTACATGAATGTTCTGTGGAGGGACTGAGAGACGGCTCAGAGGTTAAGAACACTGGCTGTTCTTCCAGAGGTTCTGAGTTCAATTCCCAGCAACTATATTACATGGTGGCTCACAACCATCTGTAATGAAATCTGATGCTCTCTTCTGGTGTGCAGGTGTACATGTAGGCAGAACACTGTATACATAATAAATAAATCTTTAAAAAAAAAGGGAATGATCGGTAGAAACTGACACCTAAGACCATTTTTAAACAACAGTAAATAAATAAATAAATATCCTGGTTAGCTTTCAAAAAAAAAAAAAAAAACTAAGAAGTGATTAGTGTAGGTAAACCTTGCCTGGGTGTGGGAGAGTAGCCAAGGTGAATCTAGAACACTCTGGATATATCTCTGGATCCTCTTTAAGATTAGTCTAGATCCCATATGTAGGGGAATGCCATCCAGTTGGGGTCAAGTAGGTCTGACAGGTCATGTGAAGTAGGGACTAGGGCTTCTCTCCTGTCTCTAGATTAAGGAAGTTATCCCTCCATGGTGGATATGTTCGCAAAGTCCTTTTGTGCACCAGGGATACATCCTGGCTCCACTGTCTGAGGTCCCTTAGACTGCTCAGTCCTTCTGGCTGAGACCCATATTCAGGGGGGTTCTGGCAGGAGTAAGATGGTATCTCAAAGTTGTTTTGATTTGTACTTCCCTGATAGCTAAGGACATGGAGCATTTTCTTAAGTGTCTTTCAGCCTTTTTGATTTCCTCTATTGAGAATTCTTTCTTCAGTTCTGTACCCCATTTTTTAATAGGGTTATTTGGTGTTTTGTTGACTAGTTTCTTGAGTTCTTTGTATATTTTGGAGATTAGCCCTTTGTCGGATATAGGATTGGTGAAAATCTTTTCCCAGTCTGTGGGCTGCCGTTTGGTCTTGTCCACTGTGTCCTTTGCCTTACAGAAGCTTCTAAGTTTGAAGATGTCCCATTTATTAATTGTTTCGCTCAGTGTCTGTGCCCCTGGAGTTATGTTCAGGAAGCGGTCTCCTATAACAATTTGTTCAAGGGTACTTCCTACTTTCTCTTCTAAGAGGTTCAATGTGGCTGGATATTCCCTTTGCTTCTCCAGAAATACTCAAATAAGGGAGGGAACTCAACCTCCAAAGATAAGTTCTTCAAATGGGATAGGGAGGCAGAACAGCTTTGGGCCTTCACTCTATCTAGACAGGGAGGTCATGCACTAAGAAGGAGTTTCATTCTCTCCCCACAAACAGAAGTGGAAAAGTAACACTCATGCCTGGCAACCCAGCCCACCCATGTCTCATACTGGAATTGCCTCCATCATAATGTGCCACACCATTAAGCACTTGATGAGTATCTTCCCACGAGACCATAAGCTCCATGGCAGCAGGGCAACATCTTCTCATGGATCAGGCATTAGCCTGGTGCCTGACCCGTGGGAGCCAGGTGCTCAGCAACCAGGTGGATGGCAGCACCTACTGGACTCTCACATTTTACTAATGCTTTATTACATCAACTCCATCTGAGTGCAACTCTGAAGAAAGCCAAGGCTCAGCAAGAAAAGTTAAATAGTTAGCTGGGGTTGCATAGGTCACATCAATGGGATCACACAGTGTTCTTATCATGAATAAATCAACAAGGAACCAGAGAACACTCTCAGCTAGCACAATGACCTTTGACACCACAGGGCAAACCAGGGACTCACAGTCCCCATTCAGGCATGCACATCAGATCTCAGAACCATCAGAACTCAGCCTCTCTCAGGCAATCCGCATCAAGTGGTCAGTGCCTGCTGGCTAGGGGACTGGACAAGGACTTCACCTCTCCAGGCCAGCTTATCTAAAAGGAACATAGTCACTGACCTCATTCACACAACTCACTGGGCAGAGCTGAGTCATTAAGACAGTGCTTGAGGGCTGGAAATTCCTGCATTCAAAGAACCCTTGTGAGGCTCTGGGTACTGACCAAAAAAAGATAGAAGGAAAGACAGAGAAGAAAAGGTGGCCACATTCCCTTCTTTTTTTTTGTCTCAGGAAGATGCATGCTGGGTTTGCCCACTGCCTTTTGGACTTCTGGTGTTTCTCACACTCTAATATGCAAGCAAATCATAAGTGAGGAGCCATCTGGTATCTCTAAACTATTGTTCTGCTTCAGCAGGTCTGAGGTGGGGGCTGTGTCTAACACTCCCATGAGTCACTGCTTTTACTCTTGACAACACTGAGCAACAGAGGGCCTGTTGGTTGGTGCAGTCT